TGTGCTATTGGCTGTTTCTCCCCTCCCAGCATTTTGCTCAAGCTATGCCCTTTGCCCAAAATGCCCTCACCACCCACCCCAACCTCCAGCTCCCTGTCCCTTGTCTAGATCCTAGTCATTCTCTACAACGCAGTTCAAACATCGCTTCCTCAAGGAAACCCTGCCTCACCACATCATCAGCCCTCAGCTTCCGTCCCAGCCAATTAACCTTCCTCTCTGTTCCCATGACTCTGGGAAATCAGGTATTTACTAGATATATTACTACAATTATCATTACTCTTACTGCATTGTATTGTCATTCTCTGTTTATGTGTTTCTTTAGAATGTTAGCTCATTTAAAAAAAAAATGTAGGAGGGAAAAAAGTCAACAACTTGATAGAAAAAGAGATAAGACTAGACAGTTCATAGTATATAATGCACATGGCCCTGACACACTTGAAAACACATTCAATCACACTAACAAGAACAGAAGTGTAACTTACTATGTTACTATTTCTTGCCTGTCATACTGAAAAAAATTAGAAAGTTTGACAACACAGTCTGTGGGTGAGGCTGTACAAAAATCAGCATTCTCAGGTATTGTGGATGAGAATACAAAATGGCATAACCACGATGGTGGCAGGGTTAGCAACACTGAACGAAATTACATATGTCTTTTTCCTTTGAGCCAGCAACATCACTTCTAGGAATCTATCCCAAAGATGTCTGCAAAAAATATGAGAAGATGTATACAGAAAACTATACTTTGTAGCAATTTTTGTAATAGCAAAAAAATTGGAAACAGCTCAAATGACCACTAATAGCGGACTGGTTGAATAAACTGGTAAATGCATTTTGCAGCTGTACTGAGAGAGAGAGAGAGAGAGAGAGAGAGAGAGAGAGAGAGATCTTTATGTAATGCTATGGAGTGATCTCTCCAGATGTATTGTTAAGAGAAAAAAGCAAGGTAAAAGACAGTATGTTCAGTATGCTACCATTTCTTTAGGAAAGGGGAGGATATAGTCATATATATATATATGTTTGTTTTTGAGACAAGGTCTCACTCTGTCACCCAGGCTGGAGTGCAGTGGTATGATCACAGCTCACTGTAGTCTCAAACTCCTGAGCTCTCAAGTAATCCTCCCACCTCAGCCTCCCGAGTAGCTGGGACCATAGGCACAGACCACTGTGCCCAGCTAATTTTTGTAGAGATGGGGGTCTTGCCATGTTGCCCAGACTAGTTTCAAACTCCTGGGTTCAAGCAATTCGCCCATCTCGACCTCCCAAAGTGCTGAGATTACAGGTGTAAGCCACTGTGCCAGGCCTTGTAGTTATATTTTTAAAAATGTTTCCTGAAAGAAAAAAGGAGGGAACAGCAGGAAGTAACAAGGATAAAAGCTAGACTTCTCTGAATATCCCTTAAGGATTTTACTTTGAAACTATATAAATATGTTGCTTGTGAAATAAATTTTTAAATTTCTGAAAACTGAAACAACACAAAACAAATGAACCTAAATATGTCTTGAATTAGTGGAATAATTTTATGGAGAAGAGCTAACCTGGTTCTTCTCCCGTATTTTCCCTTCCCTGCAGCCTTTGCCATCAGAATGTCTGACTGTAAGCCTACAACAGAGTAGAGTTTGTAACAGTCTCAAAGGCAAAGCAGAAGCCCGCATTTCCCCTGAAGGGTTAATGGGAAGTCCTCCAACAAAAGCCAAGATCTCATTTATTTTCTGCCTTGTTTACCAAAGAATTACTTTCTTCATTTAGGTTCCTTCTTCCTTTCTCTTCTCAGCACCCTTAAAACCACAAGTGACGTGAGCAGGCTTCTCTCTTCTAGGAATGTTGAAAGTTGGGTGCCTTGGAAAATGGTAGTTTCAAAGACATAACTAGGAACTTTTCAAAGAAAGATACTTTCAGCTAGAGATAGAGAGCCCTTGACTATAGGAACTAGAATTAGTTAACAGCAGAAAGAGTAGGAAAGCTTCTGAAACTGTAGCGGGCCATAGGAAGGTAAAGAAGAATGTAATTCAGGTCAGGACCAAAGAAAAGGACACCAAAGATCAGTAACACAACAGCAACTGATTCTAGTTGCCCACAGTGGGGAAATATATTCAGTTTCTGGTTAGGAGGGTTGAGTGGTTAAAATGAGAAGCACTCTTGTATAATACATTTGTGCATATGTGCTTACGCTGTCTAGTTATCTCAGGTCAGTTTCTCTGGCAGTGGGGGGCAAGGTGGTTATTTGGGTTCAATACCTGTGAAAGGAAAGGAGAGGAAGCAGGATTGATCAGAGGAAGAAGAACTGTAAGGGCTCACCACAGCCTTGACCAACCTGGTGAGAAATGACTGGTCCTTATACCCCTACCTCATTCAGTCACCTGACATAGGCTCCCCTGGAAAAGGCTTGACCTCAGACAGAGGAGGCTGCTCTCTGCAGGCAAAGCAGACCCTGAAGGTGCTGACAGCTGGACACTGTCTGCTGACAGTCCTTCCTCCAGCTGGGTTATAAGCCCTTCCTTGAAGGGGAACCTACCTGAGTAGCGCATCTCTTTACCTACCATAAGCCTACTGTAAGCCTTTCCAGAGTTAATATAGTATTTTTCTTATAATTCTCAAAATATAAAAGGTATTATATTTACAGTAGAGAACTCCATATATTAGTGTTGAATACAAAATTACTGTTAGAATTTATCTCAATGGATTATCAGGTAGTTGATATATTTCTGTGCAAGCTAGAATTACTGATCATACACTTATTCATCCCACAAACATCTATTAACTATTTATTGCATACCAGTCTCTAGAAATTGAAATATAAATAAGTATACTTTTACCATAAACTCCTAGAAGTCAGATTCTAGTGGGGAGGTCGATAAAATAGACAAATAATTAAAGTGGTAAGTTAAAAAGATAGGTCTAAACACAGTGCTAAAGAGGTTAAAGGGACATGAAGAAGAAAGCACTTAGCTATGTCTACAGACATCCTCCTGGAAGAGCAGATGTGGGCCTTGGCTGTCAGAGGACAAGAAATATTTGCATTACAGGAAGAGCAAATTGTATGTATAAAGACTCAGAACAATGAAAAAGCATTGCACAGATTGAGCACCACAGATAAATTGACATGACCAAAGCACAGGCGGTGTTTAAGGAGGGACTGAAATATGAGACTGGAAATATATCTATATATACATCTGTGTGTAA